AGAGAGAGAGAGAGAGAGAGAGAGAGAGAGAGAGAGACGGAAGAATGGAGATATAATAAGAAAATTAATTAATTTATAATAGCATCATTTGTAATAAATATTATAATTTTATATATATATAATTTATATACTATAATTATATTATTATTATTGTTATATATGTATAATTATATGTGTATACAGCGTTTTTTTATTTTTTCATTTTTATATTTGCGTGATAATATCATACTACTACTATATATTATAATACATTAAATATTATTACTTATATATTATAATTTGATGTCAATATTTAAAAAAAATAACAGACGTAAAAAATATATTCACTTGATTCATGAGCGCGAAAACCAGCAGCGTATATTCTGTACACGTTGTGTCTCACGTTCCCAGCCATGCTTCAATGCTTTATAATGGCATACATTTATCATTCATACGCTGCATAGTTGGCGCAGGTTATTATTACATAGTCAAATGGCTTTTCATCGAGCACTTGGGAGTTTCAAACGCGTCGCTGGAGCATAATCAATTGACAAGTGCAATTTATAAACCATTGAAAATGTTGTGTTTCCAAATGCGAACGAATAGATTGTACATTTTCTAAATACCTGTATTTTCGTTTCGTTCGGCAGATCATAAAACTGCGACAAACATTTTCAAATTATGAATAGGAATAGAGAGTAGTCGAAGAAGTAACAGACACATCGCGATCGATAATATCGATTAGCTAACAGGTGTAACTCCTTAAATGGAACGTGATAATAATACCTAAGAGGCCTTGGGAAGGCGTACCATTGAAGTCGCAAATAGATAGGTAACACTAATTGAATGCTCTTGGATATATTATTTAACAACTATATGCGCTTCGTGAGACCCTTGAGCTTACTCGAAATAAGCCCCAACCCCATTATACTCGCACACTTTCAGTCTCACACTCATTAAAATGAATGAATAAAGGTTGATAAATTTTTCGACTCCAAGGGATGTTCCGTAATTACTTACTCTTTTATCTTATATGTATAGAATATTCTAAAAAAAAAATTCTCATACGAATACGATCAATATTTTTTAAACTAAAAAGAAATGGTGATATTACGTTGATCGAATTGATCAGTTAGTTTTGAATGTTCTTCAAAGGTCTTCTGAAGGAACCTCTCACGTTATTTTCGCGTATATTGTTCAGTGTTTAGATATTTAATTTAAAATTTAGTTTATCTTTATTTCATCTCATCATCGAAAGAAAGCGTTAAACGGTCGTTAAACATAAAATGCTCGAAGCTCAGGTTAAGAGTCGACGGAGATCTCGCATGACAGCCTCGGCCACCTGTAGCTGACGATATTGATCAGACCGAAAGATGGCCACGCCCGGGTTCACTCTCGCGTCGCTGCAACCCCCGTGTTGGAATCCCGCTTCTCCCTCGTCACCCTCTTCCGGCCTCTCTTTCTCCCGACTGTTGTTGGCATTGTAGCCGTATGCCGCATACGGCGATGCGCCATTCCCAGTCCCGGTGAATCCGCAATTGATTATGAACAAGTGCGTCGTTACTGTTCCAGCCGCGTTCATGCACGTGCGCGACAACATTGAGGAGCTGGGCAAAGTCGCCGACGACACGGACCTGCTGTTCCTAAAGGGCCTCCTCGACAGCCCGGTCGTCACGTCCCTCGTGAAGGTGAGTAATTCCTACCTCGAAATTGAATCGCGGCCCGGGAGATTGTCTTGCGAGATTACCTGAGTAATAAAAAAAATCTGGATCCCTTTTGGACATCTTTAGGTTTTTATTCGCTAATAGATTAGATATCGTCACGTCAAAAGCACTTTTTCGTCGGTTCTATTTCTCAACGTAGAATACAAAAACTTAAAAAAAGAATGGCTGAATTTTTAATCTTAAGAGAACTCTTCACAATAAGCTTTCACTCTAAAAGTTTTAGAGAGTATATAATTTCGCACTCAACAATATAATATAAATGTAATAAACACATGATGTAATAACATAATTGTTGAGTGCGAAATTATAATATTGATGTTACGTGTGTTGTACTTCTAATTAATGTCAACTAGCTACATTCTGCGGTTGAATTTTTCTCTTCGTAAGTCTGAAGTTTGTTTTTTTTTTCTTTTAACATTTTATTTTTATCGCTCGGCTTCGAGCCGAGATGCGAGAAATTCTAATGGATAGCAATACCTATTTGCAATTTTCTTCACGACGGCATACGAGTCGTAAACGCGCGAGTGGATATCATTTCGGTCCACACATGTTGCGCGCACAGCTTCAAACGTCTGTTCGTGTACTCAAACGCTGTTTACTATGACCGTGGAAATTTATGAGGGACACATGCATCTGTCTGCGGTTTTCATCGCCGCTGTATCTCTCTGATTTGTTATATCATTGAAAAAAAAAATCGAAAGATTCACGCGAGTATTTTGGCCGTCTGCCCGAGCAATCCATGTCGTTGAACCGTCCTGCGTGAACGTGTTCGCCACGCTTAATGGAATCGATCATTTAGAATGACGAACGCGACAACCGAAATAAACCAGCCGGGTTAAATCCGGGAATATTTTCATGTGCGGCTGTATGGTGTGTAGTGCACGATTCTACAGAGAGAAAATGTGCAGTTCTCTAATTTCTAAATATAGTTTGAAATCTAGGTTTGTTCAGTCTCTGCGAGGAGCGGGGCAGGAAACTAATCGTAGAACGGTAACATTTCGATCATTTATACTTATCGCCTGTTCTCTTACTTTAGTATCAACATGGTAATACATAAATTTAACTCGATACACAGAAAGAATGATGATACGCTGAAGTATCTAAGAATTTAGCTAGATGCAGATGTGAAAATAATTTTATGGAACTAAAAATAATTTTGCAAAAATTTCAAGCGTGATGAGCAATATTGCAAAAAGTTTTAACATTCTAGTTCGAGTCCTACATAATTATTTTGATAGCCCAACAAAATTATTTTTAGATTTGTATCTAAAATTTTAGACATTTCACTAAAATTTCACAAACCGTTCTTATTGAATATTTACTCGCTGCGGAAGAATTTCTTCATTGCGATGCGCAGTACGGTTAATGGAACTAATTCAGCAGCTCTTCAAAGTTCTTCTGATATTTCTGGAGTAAATGTTGCTTTAATGAACTGGACAAATCCGCAAAATTTTAATATGTAGATTAGATTTTACGGTTCGGTTTAGGATAGTATCACGTCGCTGGAATCTGGTTGAGTCGCTCTTTCAGCGAAGGTCGCTGCGGAGCGGAGGCCCAAGACTCGTTCGTCATTCAGCATGGGGAAAAAGAGGGAATTTCGGGAACATAACCGCGTGCCAGCACGTTACTTTTATTTCTCTTCCTTGCTTCTCTCTATACGTGCCTTCACATGTCTGCATCACACGCTCGTAACATCCGCGCGACACCCACGCTATTTCGGTCGCGACACACTTCCCGCGATCGCGAGGAGAGCCGCGAAGAGAGATGGCCTTCGACAAGAATATTACCAGCGGTGGGCTAAAAAAAAAACATTGTTACACGATGCGTGAGTTCCGACTATTCGTCCTCTTGATTGATTGCACTTTTCCCCTTTCCTAGCGATGTTTTATATTGAAAGAGTCTTTTCAGTCTCCCTCACGCATACATACGTTTTCCCCTCGGCCGAGAGCCGGGAACCTACATTCCGGTAATTTTCTACCAGACAAGCAGGTATATCACGTGCATAACAGCAGGTAGAGAACGTCCGGTATCAAGAAGCCGTTAAAGAATCGGCTCACGTCTCTCGCCTTTTACGCCGATGAGCCAACAGTGGAAAGTGCTGACGACTAAAGTGATGTGTCGCACCTTTGTGGAAAAATCGAAAAATCTCAAAGTGGTGTCAAGAGAATGTCCAAAGGGCGATAATTGGATGATGATTATTGAGAAACAAGAAGGAGAAAGAAAATAAGACACACCACTACACAGAGAAAAATATAAAGTAATATTTGCTAGAATGCTGTTAAATTTTATGGAATTGACAGACGTCCATTTATGCAAAATTTATTTTACTTTTCTTATAAATGTGATCGTTGTTTAGTTATATTGTATTGAAAAGAAATAGTTGTGGTAACTATAAATTGATAATTTCAAAACTCAAGTACCTTCAACTAATTTTACAAAGTAAGAATTAAAGTAATACTGAATAGTATAAAAATATGATATACTACTACAATCTTTATTATTTTATAAAACTAATCGCAGATACATAAATTTTAAGGTTGTTAATTTATAGTTGTTAGAACTACTTTTTTTTTCTTTCAGTGTGAAATACTTTTTGCAATTTATAAAGTAAATTTATAAATCTGTATAAATTATCATACATCTCTAGAGTTTATTTTATCACCGAGTATTTTTGTCTTAGCACTGACAAAATTTACTTCACTGCGCGGTAAAAAGTGTATAAAGTCTTGAGAATAGTACAATTTACTTTCTGCAAGATAATACTCAACTGAAATGGATTTACTGTAACTGTAATGTACTTTTTACCTCACATCTCTGGTACTTTTACTTTCAACTAAGTAAAATTCGTTATAAGCTTGGCAAAAGTAACCGGAATATTTTTGCTGGTTTTGTAAGGTAAAAATTGTTCAACCATTTTCTCGGTACGTCACTAGTTCTGCGTAGTTCTGCCAGACTCTCTATAGCTGATAATCACCTGAAACAACCTCATGCTACATCCCGTAGGAAAAATTATAATCCGTGTGCGACAAGCTGCGAGACATAAGAGAGAGAGATTGAGATTTACATTTGCTCAATTGTCCAAATTGCTGTCTTTCTCTCCGTAATCATAATTACGGATAATTGGCTGTGATCTCGCGGGACCTCTTGATTGGACGTAGGTCACAAGCGCGCCTCGCGAGTTGTGGAGTCATCGCTCGTGCATGTCGCAGAAATTCAGGCGCGAGCATGCGTGTTCCGACGGTAACATGTTTTGTAAGTACGTAGCGTGTACGACGAGACGATATGTAATTTTAGTCGGTGAGTCGGCTTTGTGATCGCTCAGGGGAGGAAGTGGGAGAGACACACACGCGACATGCGTGTCGATCCACGTGTGTAGGTGACAGGACTGTATGCTGGATTCCGCCGTGGCTCTTATCGGACGCATATTGTATACACATATTTCTTTATCTTGCACTTGTCTCGGGTGAAGTTTCCCACGTAACCGAGTCCGGCTATTTCGACGTGCGCAGAACTATTTTTGACTTCTAATCAATTCTCTTTTTTTGCCGCGAATACAGATAACGATGAATATACCGATTTTGCTGATCGTTACTGATGAACGCGCAGTTACGTCACTCGGCTGACGTTGTTTGTAACACGAGCTACAAACTTAAACTACCGAGTCTTCAAAACGGTGACACATTTAATAATGGAGCGTTCAAGTGTGCTCGATCGTTAAATGACTATGCAGTCTGTCTGTGAGTAATTTGTTTTTAAAATTGGAAGCTTTACATTCAGTTGAAAACGTATTTTCATTCCACCTGTCGTATAATTTAAAATAATTAGTTCGCACCGAGCAAGGTTTTTTCTAGATACTCTAAATACTTTTCGTTTACAAAACAAACAATTAAAACGGATATGACTGGTATGGCTTCACTATGATGCGATGATTTCTTTATTGTGAGCTTCTATCTATCCTACAATCTTAAACCATTTTCGAGAGTGAAATTATACCGAAGAGGAACATCGATATTAATTTCGATTGCAGCATTCTTTTCAAATGGAATCACTCGTAAAGACTCCTAAATATTATAGAAATCTTATAGTTTCTAGTTTAATAGTTTTGTATATGTTTAGAAAGTAAAAAAAGTAAGAAAAAAGAAATAGATTAATTATTTATCCGTCATTTTTTTATCTGCTTTGACCAAACTTTTATTATAGCGTCTCTGGCAAACGTGGCAATGACAAGCCTCTCACTTGTGTCAACAGTGTTTTCTAAATTAAAAACAATAAACATGCGAACATTTCATATTCATATTTCTTCATGTTAATGAAAGCCGTTTGTTTTAGGGTCATGGCATGCAAAACCTTAAGCATTACTGCAGAATTGGCCAGTCACAATAGAAATCATAACAACGTAAGCAGTAGCAAATCCAACGTATTGATTTCTTTACTATTTACACGTTTTACTGCTTAAATTTTTTTGTGTACCATGACTCTTACGATATATTTCCAAATTCCCGCGACCACTGAAAGGGTTATGGCTTTGTATCAGCTTCGAAAGCCTGGACTATGAAACTGTGCCAATGAGCTAACACACCTATATGATTGCGTTTGCTAGTGTCATATTCTTCATTTGAAGTAGACCTAACTTTGGTGGGTTCGTAATTTGCGAGCTCAGGTGAAAACTACGATAAATAATACAGTCAACAAGGAATATGCAAAGCCTGCAAAAGAGATGATGCCTGAAGCATCCAGAGGCGCATGATTTCGCTCCGTTCTGCGACGACCTTGAAACAGTGGCACCCGGACGAGCAAGCTACGCTCCTGGAGCGAACGTAGCGGAGTGTTGCATGCCAGGAGAAGGAAGGGCCCCCACCTGTTTCAGAAACGGCAGGCGACTCGCCTGAACGGGCTGCCTACGCGGAGGGAGGCCAGACGACGTCAGTAGGCGCGGCAGAGTTTTCTGACTTGCTGCTTATACGAGTGTCGTGTCGCGCGAAGTGACGCACCCGAGCATCACCCTCATCAGCATCCTGCGTGGTCGCTTTTGCCAGCGACACAGATCTGGTTTCCCTCCGTTTGAGAACCGAGCTTTCTCTCTCTCTCTCTCTCACCGATCGATACGACTGCGAGGGCACCGACCACGACCAGTTAAAGCCGCTTAGCTTCACCAGTTCACACGAAGCACTGCGTCGCGACTCCTTCTTCAGGTGAGACGTCGTTTCCCGAAGAAGCATATATTGTAGTCGGCGAGAAAGGCGTCTAACCGAAGTGAGCGGAATTAAGAGCGTCATCTTCAATCTCGCATTGCTCAACTTCCATGAGTGGAAAATACTTGTTTCAGTCATTTACGGAAAGGTGCAATTGAAAAACATGAAAAGTACCGTTAGTGACGCGATAGGGGTAGGATTCAGGTGTGCGATAACGACGAAGTGACCAAAAGACAGCCGGTCGGACCATATGGCTCTATCGTATACAGTCGCCAGTGAACCGGGATAAACTCGATAGAAGGGAATCGAAGAAAACGTAAGATTGCATTCAACGGTAGAGAACGAATCGACTCGTCTAATAATATATTCGGAAAAGAAACGGGAGGATTCGCTTATCCCGCCGTAACTTCGCTGATCGTTCTTGTCGCGATCCGCGTGTAGCAAGGTGCGGCTCTTTTTGCGGGGATCATTCGCAGATCTCTCGAACACCCTGTTCTCTTCGAGAAGAGAAACGAGTTCCGAGCGATTCGTCTCGCAAAGGATCTCTGCTGCGCGAAGCGGATAAATAAATGCCGCCGCTTTATAGTCCATAAACGCAAGTACGACGTGCGGCGCGTCTCGCACGCAGCCTCCGGTAAATCTTGCGTCCCTCCTCTGACGCAATCAGATACAATACTCGGCGCACGAGAGAGCCCGTTCGAAGTAAACGGGAAGAGAAAACGACCGCGGCGGACTTGATGACCCGCGACGAAGTGCGTCGATAAATCTTGCACGATGGACGTCGATTTACAGATTTTCGCGTTTGAACTTCGCGAGCACACGTGGGCGCGCGCGTTGAGCAAACAAGTCGAACAAACAGGAAGCTTGACGTTGAAAAATTTTCGGTGGAACGTCGCCGTTCCTCGCAAATCGTTAATCATTGGGAGAAATGCGCCGATCCCGCAATGCGCCTCGCGAGAGCACGTACGATGAGGAAACTCTCGTTTGACCAGTAAAGCGCGCGTGTATAATGATCGGTTGCAGTTCACGATTCTCGAGAGAAAATAATTCAGTGATGAATCATCGACAACAATCTACATTTATTCGTCATTGTATTGTGCACCATAATAGCAGAGTAATCAGAAAAAGATTTACGGATTTATGTCGAATGTTTTCTGTTTATTTTTATAACTTTGTCATCGTCATCATCATCATCATCATCATTAGCACTACATCCTTTGTGTGGAACTTGATTTCTTCACTGGTTTCGTTTTACTTTCTAAATTCTTTGAAGTGTAATCTCTAAAGAGTGAAAATTTAACCTGTCTTGAAAACGAGTCGCTTAATTTTTAATCTTTAAGAGTGATGAGCTTTCTACAATTCTGTTTCCTAAGGTTTAAGACGTAAGAAACTGACCAAGTCAATTATTTTTCTTACGTTCGACTGTTAATTACGGTTTAGGACTTAAAGCTTAAGTAATGGCTTATCAAAAGAAAGTCCATGAGATTTCACTCTTCAAAATGAGATCCATTCTGGAAACTTTAAAGAATATGGTTAATTAATTTTAATAATTTTTTAAAGGTTTATTAGCTTCAATTTGTATATATCGTAAATTTTTCTTAAAATCCTCTTTATGTTTTTAAAAACAATACATTGAAGCTGTGTTAAGAGAGTCAGTTCATCAAATTTGTATAGGATATTGGGAAATAAACCATCTAAAACGCGTCGTGAAACGAGTCGGAATGGCCTACTTTCCCAATTACTCGTTCATTGTAAACTCTGAACTCCGCTCTGGGTAGGGTGAGACTAAATGGCTTTCGTGTCGATTAGATTAACTTTAATCCGATTGAACTCCGTTGGCATACGCATCATTGCATGTCACTGATCATTAACAGCGTTAAGAGTCAAATTTTTTTTATTCTATAATTTCTTACCTAGATCTTCTATAATTCTCAACTATACGTTTCAAGAAATATTTCCCTTCTCAAACACGAAAATAACAAGTTATACTTGAAAAAATCTGTTAATTCAATGTAGTTTCTTTATTTACTTCTCTTTTTGACCGAAACAAAAACATAAGCCTCATAAATTTAATGCAAAAACCTATTCCAATTTCGAGCAACAATAAAAGCTACTAAATAAATTATTATACATTTTTACGGAAAAGACGGTTTTGTTAAAGTAAGTAAAAATCTAATAGATGCACAGATCTAAAAATAATTTTGTTTAACCATCAAAGTAATTATGTAGGACGCTCAAAGTTCTCAAACTGGATGCTAAAAGTTTTACATCATGCTTAAGATTCCTACGTAATTATTTCGATAATTCAACAAAATTATTTTCAAATCTGTATCTAACTTTTTTTATATACTCAAGCAAAATCATTCTTTCCGCGTTCTCTTGTAAATTAAAGATAAAGAATAAGAAATAAAACAAACAATTGCGAATCTCTACAATGCGAAATAGAGATTTAAAAATATTTAAAATAAAGAAAGGAAGTCAGGAACGTTTTAATCAATTAACATGATGAGAATAGAAACGTTGTTGCGATTTGAAAGTATCAACAACGCGTCAGCGTGAGATGTGAGTTGTGGAGGAGTAACATTTCTAAGCCTCGTGAGAAAAACCAGTTTTTCGAGTCCAGATTTGAAACCTTCTTTCTTTGTTTGCATGCCAGGTGCAGGAGCGTCTCGAGGACCCGCCGGTGCCTGTAGAGCCGGTATGCTCATCCATCTGTGACATCGTCGACGAGGTGTGCCACGCCTTCCAAACCTCCAAGGACTCACACGTGAACGAACTAGTGAATCTTCTCGGTCACGTGCATCTAAGGGCGCTCCTGGAGACACACGACGCGGTTGTAGAACGTAGGGAAGCGCCTTCCAAACCGCCTGATTCACCCGCGTTAACAATGCCAACGAATAAGAAGGAGGAAATGCCTATTAGGGTCGTCGGCCTTCGGAGGCAACCGGATGAACCCCTGGTAAGTCGGTAAACAATGTAGAAATAACTCTGCGGGAAAATAAACAAACATTGTATTGTTTAATATTAAAAAAAAAATATTTCATTCTAATTTTCGATTAATCTCGTTTGAAGTTTATTTTCCCTTCTTTCCGTTCAAAACTTAAAAGCAACATAATCACTTGTATAGTTATTCAATTAGACTCTCTTCTCTCTCTTATTTGATACTGCGACATGTAGAACTAAGTTTAGAATCTAAAGCGAGATTGGAAAAGTTTACCGCGAGAGAAGCTCCTCATTCGCGAATTAGCCCGCCAGATTCGCCCGAAGAAAAGACGAAGATGTTATATAGTTCGTAAATAAGTACGAACGTTTATTTCTCCGACATGCCACGTGTTTCGGCGATTTTCTGGTACTGCGTATTCGAAAGCACCGAAATATGGCTAGCAATTTTCAAGGTCGCACTTAAGGTTTTATTGATCGTTACATTGAGAAGACTTCAATGTCGCAAGTCAAATACGCTTTAATTCGACGTAATTAGATCAGGACGAGACATTTATTTTCATGTCCGTATATTTCCAGGGTCTGACGGTGCAAGTGGATGAAGCTGGAAATATGATCATCGCTAGGATCCTCGGTGGTAGCACGGCGGCTCGTCAAGAACTTCTGAAGACCGGCGAGGTGATACTCGAAGTCAACGGCAAGAGAGTTCGAAACCCTGAAGAACTCCAACTAGCGATTCAGGATGCCAAGGAGAATCTGTCCTTAAAACTGGCTCCAGGCATCGCCTCGGAAACGAATCGACCTCTCAAGTCCACGGTGAGTGTTACGAGCTGTTTTCCATCTCGATGCCTCTGGTAACAACTACGTTCTCATTCTCCTTCCTTACGATGCTCATTCGAGCGTGAAGAACACAACGTCGGCGTCGTAATCGCGGAGCAACGAAAATTCATAATAATCACATCGAGCTGCTGTTTTAATTTGATTTGTCATTGCAGTGTTACATGAGAGCCCTCTTCGATTATGATCCCTTGGAGGACACGCTTCTGCCCTGCCGGGAAATCGGTCTACCTTTCCAAAAGGGCGATATCCTTCAGATTGTTGACCAGGCCGATCCGAACTGGTGGCAGGCGCGAAGAGTGGAGGGCGAGAATCTTGGATCGCCCGGACTGATACCCTCGTTGGAGTTGGAAGAGCGCAGAAAGGCGTTCGTACCACCCGAAGCTGATTTCGTTCATAAAATCAGCATCTGCGGTACTAGAATATCTAAGAAGAAGAAGAGGAAGATGTATCAATCCAAATCAAACGGAGAGTTTGATAGTGCCGAGTTGCTTCTTTACGAGGAAGTCGCTCGGATGCCGCCGTTTCGACGCAAAACTTTGGCTCTGGTCGGACCACGCGGCGTAGGTCGTCGGACCCTGAAGAACAGGCTGATCAACAGCGATCCAGAAAAGTTCGGCACTATCGTACCCTGTAAGAAATATTTAATTAATTCGTGTTTCATCAATCGATACTGGTAGTTTAATTATCGTACTGAGTGAATGTAATCTTTTCGCAGACACATCGAGACCGCCTAGAGTTCTCGAAGAGGACGGCAAGAGTTACTGGTTTACCGATCGCCAGTCCATGGAGATCGACATTAAGGAACACAGGTTCCTGGAACATGGTGAACACGGTGGACATTTATATGGCACGAAATTGGACTCAGTACGGGAGCTAATTAGAGCCGGCAAAATGTGCGTGCTGGACTGTAGTCCGGCTGCACTCAAAATACTTCATAATAGCACCGAATTTATGCCTTATGTCATATTCATTGCCGCGCCCGGAATGGAGCAGCTTAAGTCTTTATATGATCTCGGGAGATCAACTGGCGCCAGCAGTCGAAATCTAACGGTATTCTTATCCAAAGTTTGCACCTATATTTTTACAAAAATTGTCTTTTTCTACATCTTAAATCTCTACATTCTCCTTAGAGCTCCTCCTATCAATTTCATGTGATGCTAGCAATTTATATGCGACAATTTATTTATTTCATTGTTTATTTTATTTTGATTCCATCACTTTAGTTAATTGTTGTATAAATTTGATGTTGGCTTTGCTAGTTCGACCGCCAGAGTTCCATCAGGTACAGCTCGAGAAGAGCCAGGACACTGGAGTCTCTCGCATCTTTATACGAGGTTTGTATTATCGCATGATTCGTATTGTTTTATCATGCATCATGTATTTACAGTAATTTGGAATGTCACAAAATTATTAATAGTTACAAATTTAGTTATGTACTTTAATATCTCTTTCGCACGCTGTTCCTTTATTTTAATTTAATTCATAGAATAGAATTCTTCAATGCTTAATCACGAGAACCATAAAAATTTAATTTTTCTCTTGGTAAATTCGCGTCCTTACATAAATGTAAATCGAATATCTCTTTAAACTCTTTTTATAATCGAAATTAAGGGAACTGCTATGTTTGTGATCTCGTCTAAGGTTTAAAATGCATCTGACATCACGCTTTTATTACGAACCAATTATCATGTAAAGCATTATCTTAGAAAAAAATATTTTATATAATAAAGCATTAAAAATGAAAAAAATGATTGATGATCTATTTAACAGGAGGACGATTTAAAATCTACGTTGGAGGAATCTGCGGCCTTGCAGAGAGCCTATGAGAAATACATCGACCAGGTGATCATAAATGAGGACTTTGACAATACGTTCAGGCAGGTGATTGCAGCTTTAGACGCCTTAGCCACAGAACATCAGTGGGTGCCGGTCAATTGGATCTACTAATTAAGTTCTGAAGTGCTCGACCTCGAAAAACTTCAGAGTCAAGAGCTGCGACAAATTTTACGCGCGAATAAAAGAAAAATTTGTTTATTACTGCCCACATCACGAAAACTGCGAGATTACCTTACGAGAAGTGGTATTCAGAATCAGGCTCCGTTTGTCGCGCGGCTAGGAAAATGCAAGGCACGTGTAATCAGAGTACAAAGAATGCTATGAATATCTCATGCCGTGTGAAGCGATATCGACGTTGTCGCGTAAAAGGCGCGGTCGAGAATCTCATTATTATCGTTTATCATAATTAAATACAGCGTTTACGTTAGTTTGTTATAGATTTACAAGCGACCCGTTCTGCGTATGGAATCTCATTAAAAAAATCCTTGTTTCATACATTACTGTATACATTAAGTCATAATGTACAGAGAATCGCGAATCTTCTCAATCGTTCGTCCTAAACAAATCGACGTAACGATAATGATATGTGAGACTAGTTACGTTCAAAAATGGAAAATGAATACTTTTTTTACAAAATGAAAAATCATATCGCACGCTGTAATTTTACTGCCAATCTCAACAACGACTGTAGAAGCAATTCGGGTCGATTGATGTGTTAGACCGCCGTCCAATTAATTTTAGTGTATTTTTAATTTAATTAACGACAACTGCGTATACACGTACGATCATTTATATCTATTCGACTCCGCTATACACCTTTCTCGTGAATTCTGTTTCGTGTTTCATTTTGCTATTCGTGCACGCTGAAGTAATATTCCTGGCATGGAGTGCCTTAATAAAGCGAAAATTACAAGCGATATTCATATTCGGTTTTTATTTGCAAATTGGCTTAAGTAAATACAGTTATCTGATTCATGACATCTTAAGACTGTGATGACTTAGGACGGTCCTAAAATATATAAGGTCCGATTATGAATATCGCCCTACTGTGTCAACTTGACAGACTCATCTTGCATTCGGATTTCATGATGGACAAAACTAACATTGCCTTTTCCCTAACGTCTTCGATGGACAGTCGCATATACACGCATATACATCTATACGTACACATTCGAATTTTTTAATTCACACATACATCTAAAAAAAATATATTTGTAGATTAAAAGGGCTGCTTTGTACACAGAATACAAGTATAAATTATATCTGTATATTAAATTGAGACATCCTGTCCCGAAGAGCAATGTGATGCACGATGTGGAATAAAGTTTATCGAGCATTTGTTACGGACTAGAACTGTGCAACGAATGGATTATTATTTCAGTATTCCTGTCCTCGCTCCTTTTTCAGAGCTTTGCGAAAGGATGTTTATCAAACCGAAAATGTTACTAACGATAGATATAAGAATTTAATAAATTTTTTATCTTGATTATATATAGATTGAAAATGTGCAATGAAGCAAAACAAGTATTTTATACATGTGTATTATATTTTCTTTTTCTTTTTTCTTTAATACAAATCTGTATCATATTTTTCTCATATATGTAAAAATTAAAACAGATGAAAATAAAACTCTCAGGGAAATTCATTTCTTTTATAAATGATATCTTATATATTTATTTAAAAGAATATGCGAAGAATAACGTTCTTTATATAAATTTATATAAGTAGATTTATGCATCATTAACGTTTTATTTTTATTATTTGTTATTTTAAACAAATGAAAATAAAAGTCTCAAGAAAATTATAAATCTCATAAATACCTTAGTTATTATTATATTTAAAGAAATATACAGAAAAAATGTTTTAATAATATTGCAAATAAATTTATGCGTTATAAACTTTCTTAAACAGCGTACGTATAACGCTTTTATTTCATAACAATCTTTCATAACTAAAAGTAATTAAAAATATTTCTTCGGTCTTTTATTTATATAAAGCCTAATTTTTTAAAAAATATATTAACATTATTAATGTTTACCAATGATTGACATTATAATGAAGAAAATAAAAAACGTTATCAATATTATAATTGATTACCTTATTGTTTACCGAATGCTAAACAAGAATGACATGACAACCGGCGGGAAGCAGTCAAGTAGAAACCTCGGCTGCGTTCAAAATCATCATCTGAATATAGGTGTCGTGTTATCCTTGTTTATTATTTGTGAAGAACAAGGATAAAACAACATCTAGGTGCATCCGGACGACGATTCTGAACCCCTGAACACGCCCTAAGAAGCCAAGGAAGATAACTGTCCTCAGTGCAAAAGTGACGGTTTCGAAATCATAGGGCCGGTTCCTTTTATTTGCACCATTGTGCAAACCATTATGCACGTTCTTCTCCCTCCCTCCAATGTGCGGAATATGTCCGTCTTCTTTATAGGTGCAGCACATATGTGAGAAACGAAGCGAACGGGGCCTACCGGCTAATCGGCCAATGGTAGCGTATTATCTGCCACGTTTCAAGGTGGCAGAGTGGCTTGTCATAAACTCATGACACGTATTTGTCGTGCGAGAAAACCCTCGGGCCGCTGTGAGCGATCGCCGTGTATCGTCCTCTCGCCGTCGTCGGGAAGATGCAGATGCTACGGCAACTGGACGTACACCCAAAGGTGCGCGAGGAGGCAGATATCCTCGTGAGGACTTTCAGCGGTGCTATTGGTAAACACAGTGTATTCTGTAGCGATACTGTACGATGACTGTTCGTCGTCGGCGAAAGCGAGACCTGGAGAACCTCCACGAGGACCGAATATGTCGTTTACATTTCGCTACGCTAAATAGTATTGTTTGATGCGAGGCGAAACAATACCGGCGAGCGATTAACCTCTTAGAATTTTTCTGTTGACATGTCATTAAAATACTTGACTGAAATATTTCATGAATTACAATATATTCCATTAAAATATTTTTATCCGGATCATCCAGTATTTTAATTCGTGTTTTGTAATATTCGTATAAATGCACGTAATTGTGTTTGTTTTGTTTCTTCATATGTCTCTTGATAAGAATTATTTGTTTACATTTGGCGGTAGTAAATAAAATGCAGTTTGACGTATCTCTCTTGTTATATTTAATAAGAAAATTATTGATCTCACGTTAAACTAATGTAAATGACGAAATAATGCCTTTTCAGTTACAATCATTAGTACAATCATCATGGGCATACTGTTTTTGTCAGAGGTAAACTATTATCTTACGCCAACTATGAGCGAGGAATTATTTGTAGATACATCCAGGGGTTCTAAACTGAGAATTAACTTGGATATAATAATCCCTGCTATATCTTGCGATCGTAAGTATAAATTGCACCGGTACATAAATAAAGAATGATATCAGTCTCAGTCATTTCAGTGTTTTGCAGTTTTATCGATAGACGCCATGGATACGACAGGTGAACAGCATTTGCACATAGAGCACAATATTTTTAAGAGACGATTAGATTTGAACGGTAAACCCATTGAGGATCCACAAAGGACAAGTAAGCGTAATATTCTTCTCGATATATATGTGCAACAGCTAAAAGTACTATGTAAAATATATTTTATTGCAGATATTACAGATGCAAAGGCTATCAGTAAAACTACAGAGAAGGTAACGCAAGATTTCTATAGATATCTTGTGAATAAAGTATTTGCAAATTAGTTATTATTGGATAGAACATTTTTACAGGCAGTGGAGATCGGTTCCACTACAGAACTCTGTGGAGATTGCTATGGAGCTGCCACAGACAGTATGAAGTAAGATCTCATTTGTGTGTATTAGAACACTATGAAGTATAATCCTATTAGTATTCTACTTGTGGTAGATCTTAATCATAAGGCTTATCTACAATGTTTTTTATTTCCTGTTTCTTATTTTTTTACCCATTTGTATCTCTTGTCTTTTTGCTTTTTATTCCATTTCTTCGATTTTTATCGCCAGAAAGTTAACAAATGACAAAAAAAGATAAAAAAAACATGATTATTGATAAAACTGTCGCAAAGAGGAAAAGAGGCAAGAGGTAAAAATGATAAAAAAATGAGAAACAAGGAAGCAAACAGTACATTGTAGAGTAGTCATTGGGCTGTTGTTTTTAGTTGAACTTTTTCCATAATTTATTCTCTCAATGCTTTGAAAATCTCATTCTAAAGAATAAAATTCACTCTAAAAATTTTAGAAAATATTTTTCTTGTTTTATTAAGAAGATTAAATCTATTAAAATCACATTTTATAAAATTTCATTTGTTCACAGATGTTGCAATACCTGTGAAGATGTATGGGAGGCCTATAGACGAAAAAAGTGGGCTCCGCCAGATCCGGCTGACGTTAAACAGTGTCAGAATAACAAATCTATGGATAAACTCAAGCATGCCTTCACGCAAGGCTGTCAGATTTATGGTTATATGGAAGTGAATAGAGTCGGTGGTAGTTTTCACATCGCGCCAGGCGCTAGTTTTTCAGTCAATCACGTTCATGGTGAGCTAATGAAACTTGAACTTTTTTTTAAATAACATTCCCAATAAGTATCATGCTCTAAAGGCTTGTTCTTTGATGTTACAGTGCACGACGTTCAACCTTACACTTCATCCCATTTCAATATGACGCACAAGATTAGACATTTAAGTTTCGGGCTTAACATCCCAGGGAAAACAAATCCTATGGATGGCACGACTGTGGTCGCCATGGAAGGTATGTCCTTGCTCCTTAATTCTACTTTTATTAAAGACTTAATGACTTGCGCTTACAATACAATTACAACGAAAAAGATAGGCTGCAAGATACTCGATAACGTAGCTCCATCCACACTGATCCGTGTACTAGCATCGTATCCCTGTTCCAATAGCCATGAATGTACCAAATGTACCGCCACCTTGAAGCATTACTTTGCCAACGTTATTCAACAATTCTCTTCCTCTCATTCCATATCTGGAAAGTTTCATATATATTCAAATTTTCTAATGATACGTAATGATATTTTCTATATATACTTATTTTAAATACCTAAGAGCAGAAAATCCTCCAAAGAGCGCACCGGAGGCCATTCCTACGCAAAATCCAATTGTAAAACCTAATTTCATTCTATCGAAACAAGTCGGCCCTTGTTGATAAGCCCCTCCAGGTACCACCGGCATTTTACAGCCTGTAAAACAGTTGTAATGCCAGTATTTGTTTCGCTTTCCACAAACTATTTTTTTTTCTAGTTTTTGATCTTAATAATGTCTCCAGAATGGAGGAAAAGCTTGACAAATTAAATTTACTCTTGAACAGCCTTGCGAGTTTTTTTATTTATGATAAATAAAAAACATCTCCAAGTTTTTAATAGAATTAAGTGTTTTTGTATGGAGTTTATATTGACACATACGAGGTTGATTAAGCACACACTTACTGTTAAAATGTCTGTTACGTAATCTTACGGTGTGCGCGATGGATTGGGAGTGATATTATTCTTACTTTTCAATTTTGAGCTTGATCGCAATTTTTGTGCAATTGCCGGAATTTTTCAATGCATCGCAGTCATATCACAATATCGGGAAGGCGCCATGACAGTTTCGCAACGTGAGCAAAAAGACGGTTGCGCCGTCTGCTATTTCCGTTTCGTCCGTACCGTCATCCGTGGCGGGAAATTTCAATTACATCAGTGACATACGTATACAAATTTTGTTTTTGAAAGAACTTAAGCCGATATTCGTTCTTATCTTAAGACCGTCTTAAGTAATGTCTCAAGATATTAAGATATTAATGCGGCTCTGGCCGCCGATTCATAGTCGAGTTTTATATTTAAGACTGTATACAATCTTAAGATTTTGTGAACCAGTCAGAGCTGTTAGCATCTTCAGAAATTCTTAAAAATTACTTGAAATAGTCTTAAAATGATTTGATTGGCTTATGATATTTTGAAACTGTACTTAATTACAAATTTTTGAGCAATTAGAGAAATTTGAAATTTTCTCAGAAAAAATTAAGTAATGTACTTGTATTATTTATAAAATATAAGAAACTAGAATCTTTCTTATTCCTTTAAAAGATAGTACACAATTCAGAACTCTTTTACTTTTTAGTAAATTACCTTAACTTTTTAAATTGCTTCTTTTTCAAAAATTAAATCCACGGAAAAATTCTTTTTCTCGTAATTTACCTACACGTATATCACACATAGACATATCTAATTGCATATTGAAAAGATTCGTCCTAATTCGAATTTATAGTTTTTTCTATCAATATACGATGCTATTGTTTTGTTTTCAGGTGCTATGATGTTTTATCATTATATCAAGATTGTCCCAACAACGTACGTCCGCGCGGATGGCTCAACTCTCGTTACAAATCAGTTTTCCGTAACGCGGCATGCAAAACAGGTATCTTTGCTCACCGGCGATTCTGGGATGCCGGGTGTATTTTTCAACTACGAGCTGAGCCCGCTCATGGTAAAGTACACGGAAAAAGCGAACTCGTTCGGGCATTTTGCAACGAACACTTGCGCGATTATCGGTGGTGTATTCACTGTGGCCGGTCTGATCGATTCGTTGCTCTATCATTCGGTGCGTGCGATACAAAGGAAGATAGAGTTAGGAAAGTACAATTAAACACTTTGGATGCAGCAGCATCGATTATTCTATTCTGATTCTAATTCTATTGTTATTTCGTCGATCTGGTCGTGTTCAAATAATTTCGAAGATATAAGTATCTTCTCCAAATAAGCGAGATGAGTCGCTGAAAATGGATTGGGATTAGTATTAATCGCTGATGCGGCACGGCCTTAGGCGGATAATCAGATTAACTAGGATTAATTTTAAAAAAAGTATTAAAAATACTCGATTTTCCATTGAAAATCGAATTTTCTGGACAATGGTGCATTTTTATTGCACCATTTTTATTCGGATAACTATTCTCATCTCGTTTATATTAAAGTCATCTCAAATATGTTGAAGGATATACTTAGTATTATAAGCGCAATTGAGAATACATTACAAAATATCTTTGTTATACGATATAAAAAAGAAATTATTGACATAACTTATTGATATAATGGCATATGCTTTATCTACTTTTTATTTAAAGATGACGATTGTTTTAATTTTAACGATGTAAAAACCTATTTATACGTGTTGTACATAAAAACCAGCAAAATATATAAGAGCCTATTGAATTCTCATGACAGGAATATCACTTCTAGAAATAATTTGAAAACAAAAAGCATCTATTAACATTTATTTACATCTATATTATAATTAAAACGTTTTGAGAAACGCATTGTAAATATCAATAGACGTCTTTGCGATATCTCTACAAAAGTCAACGTCTGTACCGCTGACTAAAGCTAGTGGCGAAACATACATTGGTTTAGAAGGATCATACTGTGCCTTCTTCATTTCCACCAGAAACAAATGTCTCTGTTGGAGTCTAGTTTTTCGACAAAGTAAAATATGTGGCATCTGCGTAATAAAATCATGTTGCAGCTGCATTTTATTGTGGGTATAATCGAATGTACTTAGCAATCTGCTACGATCTAAAAGCACAATTTAAAAGGTCAGATAAATTCATGAATTCTAAAATTACGTTATTGCAGATGCTTACTCTTGATCCATATCCTAGGCAGTGTAAGAAGCAATTTTTTCACTTGCATCTGTTCAAAACCCATCTCCTCTCTGATACTGAACGTGTTTTCCATTAGATGTATCATCCTGTACGTTATTATCTTTGGTCCCTTAACTGTTAGGTTTCTGATTTCATTGCCGTTGAGTTTGAAGTTACTCTGGAAGTAACCAAGTCTGCCGTCTATATCTTTTGTACTAAACAAGAGCCAGTTGGGATTCTTGCAGATTATCGTCTTTATCATTGATACACTGAAATTATGCGCCCTCAAGTATCTTATTCTCGTGTACAGATCATCCATGTCCTCCTTGAAGATGTTTGGATTCTTTGTAATAAATGTACCTAAGTAATCAGCAGGTACTCCGCAGTCGTGCAGGAACCTTATGTATGGTTTCACGTCTCGATCGAAGTTGAGGTTCAAGATGTACTCCACCATCCCCTCGTTTGCCTCGAATTTGTACAGACTGACTCCAAGGTTTACCAGCTTCTGGATCGTGCGGGACTTATTTGCGTATTTGGCGAAGCTGAAAGTCGGAGTAAGAGGCGTACCAACATCTGACAGGTCTTCGGTGCATACGTCCAGGGGATGCGGCAAACGTATGTCATGATCGTCTAGATAGTCCTCGCAAGTAAACGAAGTTGTGCTTGTATTATTACTCAGGTTAGGTAACGGTTCCACCGTATAACTTCCATCCTCGGTCTTCGGTAGTTCTGACAAGGCATTCGGTTCGGAGGCTTTCTCGACGTCTCTTTCGAGCTCCTTCGACGCGCATTGTCTCGGTCCGCCGCTTTTTGAGATAGATCTAATTAAATCTATCGCGACCGGTCGTGTTGTCGACACGAGTGAACAACAACGTTGAAACATGTCTGAGCGCGGCCATCTTTTAACTCTAAACAGATCTAACTAAACTTCCCTACAATTCGAGGAGCTAACTACGTAGCCACATTTACGAATCTTCTCGATGGATAATACAGTTTTGGTTTCTCGCACGTTCAATATTATATTTATTATATTATTACATTCCAAAATGTCTTCTCTCAAAAATTTTATTCGAAATATGTAATATGTACATTTAACATAATATTGTATTATATCGATTCTATACTATATATTGTATTGTAAAATTTTCGATGAAAAAGGCGATTTTGGAATGTAACCATATAATTATGTAATGTAATATTACTATATATAGTAATATTAATCAAATAACATTAAACTCACATTTTAGACGATTTATAATTCGAAATGTTAGAATTCAGGAGATTATTTTATTTATGTGCGACGTATAGTACGAAAAAGAATCGAAGTCAAAATGGTTAAATAAAATATACATGTATTAAACGTTCGCGCGCGCGCGCGCGCGTTTCGATATATATTATGCATACATATATTTAAATAATATATAAAATATATATATTAAAATATAGAATTTTTTTTATAATAAAATACATAGCATGAAAAGTTATAGAAACGCGTCAGATTTTGATCCTCAGATCGTAAAATGGGCTTAAAAAATAATCATGCTCAAGATATCTGTAAAACGTAATTATAACTGAAAATTATTACCATGATTATCTCAGATTTATTGTCTTAAGTGTGCCGATAGAACTTTGCATATAGCGATAGCAAATTTGCATCATGTTTTTATGAGTCATCTGTAGTGATACTTACGTAGGAAAATATAGAAAAACGAATCCGTACACGCTCGAGTACATATAACGAGATTTGCAATTTGCTGAGTCAACGTTACGGGGAAAGGAGGGTGAATGAAGAATGCAAAGAGCGAAACGCGAGACGTATGTATGAACAAATACTTTTTTTATTATCTTAAAACGATTAAACGCGTTATATTAAATATAAAGGCGGCAAAGTAATGCGCTTTGATTTACATCAATATATAATATACAATTGAAAACAACACAATTACACACTACATCCCAGAATGTTCCACGTTTCTTCGTAAAGAATCGTGAAACACGATTCGTGGAAGGCTGTTACCTGCACTTGTAAAACTTACGCAAAATTTTCTCGTGCATACACACACACACATACACGCACGCACACATTCATGCAGATGTTATTATATTATCTGGGTTCTTAATTAATGCGTTATGTCTCTTTACAGCAGCTCTATTATGGTGAAAGTGACGTGCCTGCGCTATTTTATGTAATAAGTATGTTAATTACACATATTAAGAACACTTTGATTTTCATGATTAGTGTCTGAATATCAAAACAATGTAAACAAACTAAAGGAATGTTCTTTACGGTTGACCTCGACCAAACTCCAAAATTAATTTCCTCCGGTGGTATAATGTGTTAATTGATTCCTGTGCAATTTAACGTGAGTAGAATCGTTAACTTTTTTTTCTCCATTTTCGCTGCATGTTGAAAGAAAAATTAAAGGTCACAGACACTACAACTAATTGCGTAATACAGTTGGACGTTTTTTCTGCTAGGCAATTAGTCGCTGATTATAAGTAAATATTTAATATAATTATAGTTAAAATATTATAGCTATGACTACAATTTGGTCGAAGTCGGCCTTAAATAGTAAGACAAAAACAAGCGCATGGCTTGCCGCATTGCCGTGCTCCTTCCGCGTAGTTATTGTTCGTAGCACGGCCGATTATATCTCATCAATCCAGTTGTGTTTCGCGCATCAAATGGTTTAATTCCATAAAATCGTTGTGTGTAATACGGCACAATGTCGGGAGATACATTCTAACGGAGAGTTTGACTAGGCAACTCTGACGTGCATTATTATTCCGATTGCACCGATGTATTGTTCTATGTATTTTCTCCCTCCTTTTTCTGTTGCGCAAGTTTTCGCGTGTAATATATCAAACTGGCTAATCGGTGTTTCACGGTCGAGTTCAGAGCGATTACGGAGTCGACGATGGCCAAGAGTACACAGCGTTCTGTGAAATCTATCTAGCTGTAAGTCGACGTAAATATAATTGTAGCGATTCTCTCTTGTCCTTAAATTAAATAGCACGTATGTCCTGCATTCTTATTCCGCCGCGTGTTATGACTAGATCTTCGGATCTTCACTCGTGTTTCAGTCGGGCAGCCGTTATCTCATTCGTTTCTTCGCCGTCCGACTGGCGAGATCGAGCAGCTGTTCTCTCATTTGTTGCCTCGCCGTCCGATTGGCGAGGGCGGGTAACCGTTCTTTCATTCGTCGCTTCATCGTTCGTCTGACGATTTTTGGCTTGCTGTCGTAACTGAGCTCGCTTCAGACTTGTCATTAATTGACTGGATTGATAAAGCCAGCTGGCCTGAAAGGTCATAACGTTATACGCACGTGTGTCGCAAACTTTTAGAATGTTTATTCGTTCAAAATCGAATCTCTCGACGCTAATGTACTTACCACCATGATCATGCAGTTCATTAAAATGGGCATGGAGAAAACTACGGATATAAACAGGCCTTGTGAATCGAAGTACTGCTGTCTTGAAAATACCCTGTGAAAGTTGTCAAGAAAATTATTAAAAGGAAAAATCCGGAGGAAAGAGAAAGAACCGCTTTGACAAGCCACAGCCGCAATTTAATACGTACATCCAATTTGTTGCCGCAACCTTGTTAATACTTTCTGAGAAATAAACCAGGAGTACTAAAACAGAAACAGAGCTTGTAGTATTGTGATAACTAGGCAAAATCCGCAGTAAATTACAATAGACTCTTACAGAGCACGAGAAACAGGATTATCTGAAAATTTGCGTGGTTTCTTGTCATTAACGCGGTCATTGTAACGGCAATATGAAAAGTTAATAGTGCAGCTAGCCATGGATCCCTCCAATCAATCTGCAACAATATATTCATACAAAATACGTTAATAATTGCGTTTAACAGAAAAAAGCTTTACAACTATTGTTAATATATTAAAGAATTTTTTAATATAATTACTGCTATATTAAAAAATCTTACAATTATATTAAAAAGTTCTTTAATATAATGACGACTCTTAAAATAACTACAAGATTTTTTAATATAACTGAACAAAAAAGTCTTTAATATAATTGAGATTCTTGTACTTATTTATATATATTTCTTCAATAGATCTAAATATATAAACCAATCACATTGAAGAATTTTACAACAGTTGCAAAGCTGCTTTTTCTGCTAATCGCAATGTTTTAATTTGAAGTAAATAAAATTGACATCGAAACACCTAATCTTTAAATAGGAAAACTGTGCTATAATCTTATCTCCTAAAATATCCTTTCACTACGTTTAGCGGAGCTGCAAAAGCGAAAGGAGCATAAGGTAAGGTCAATTTCGAATATGATGTAATTCTGAACAAAATAAGATTTAGATATTCATATAGTCGAGTGATTCTTATATTTAAAAGTTTCTTAAATACAATCTGAAGATGTCATAAACCAATTGGAGAATGTATTAGTATCTTAAGATGATTTTAAAATAAAAACTACTACGAGATAAAAACTACTAAATTCAAAAATTAGATTTAAATCTTATTTCATTAACTTAGAATTGCATCATATTCAAAATTGTAGCACCTTATCCCAACACATGTTTCTCTCCCCCTCCCTTATCATTTTAGCGATGTTATTATTCGTACAAGGTAATCTTGTGAAAAAAGGATTGAAGAAAACATTCGAAAGCACGGCGCACGATAACCGTTTAAAAATATCCAGAGAGATTCTGGAAACCAAATTACGCAGCGTTTTCGCGACGAGTTGCACGCGTCTCAGCGACAGGACGCCCTTGAGAACGAAGTGTGTCCATGACAAAAATAGAGCGCCGATATAATCGGCAATTTTTCGCCGCCGTCTTCTCGTCCAGGACGATAAAAGGAGGTCGCGGTATCGGCGGAAGCCGATTGATTTCTATTCTCGCTTCCCGTCTAATTCGTGCACACGACGTCGGTGATAAGATAAAGGATCCGTGCATAGATCTTCGGGGCTCGATGCGTCAATAATGTATGTACATATTGTACATAACGCGAGTGTCAGACGGCCGGCCTCGCCAGCAGCGTCAAAAACGAAAGTTGCCGGAGCAGCGAATTGCGCGCCGGTCTGCAGGAATCTGGAACGTGAGGATGTCGTATTGATATACAGAGTAGATAATATGCAAAATTGCGTAATACCCGGTTCTACCAGTATAATTTAATCTCAGTTCAACTAACTCTTCTTTTTTAATCCGGGAAATTAAAAAAAAATTAAGTAATACCCATTTTTACCAAGGTAGATTAACTTTAATCCCTCAACTTGTACTTTATCTTTTTCTAATTCTAAAAACTTATAGTTCATCTTTCCCTAATTCTAGGAAGATAAAGTACAAGTTGAATTGAGATTAAAGTTAATCTATGTTGGTAGAAACGAGCATTAATGACACGAATTGTACAATTTATGCTCCCATTTCTTCTCTCTCTCTAATGTAGATTAACTTTAATTTCCATTTATTTTTTATCCTTTTCTTAATTTTATCGGTGTACTCTTATTTTTACGCTTGATTTCTGCACTTAATCAATAGAAATTCATTAACGGAAATATATATAAATTTGAGTTTATAATGAGAATGTGTTTACATTTGTAGTGAATTTAAAATGGAAATGATAAGAATTCAGAACGGAAAAGAGCACATTTTCATGATAAATTGTGCGATCGTACATAAATTTCCATTCTAAATCGTACAAACATATATACACCTTCACCTTCAGTGAATCGTATAATTTTCGCGTTCGTTGCTGTGTAATTCTATGTATTTTTTTCTTTTTGCGGTGCGTTTAGCGATTCCTCTTCTGAATTATAAGTCGAAAAATGTTGCAGAAGATCCGTTTTTACTCGCGCTTTTCACGTTCAATTTCCTCGTGTTTCTCTGCTCTTCTATTCTTATTTTTCAATCGCGAGATTTAACGTCTGCTCTAACTTTTCCTCACTTTTCTTTTTCCGTACCTTTTCTCCTTTTCCTTCTTTCTCCAAAAATTCCGTAAATACTATATTTTTAACAATAAGATGATAATTTAAAGCTCAAATAGATGACAAGTTAAAATAAATAAATTAAAAGTTTTAAATTAATTATTAGGTTAAAAATGTATTACAAATAAAACACAAATATTAAAAAGCTATATGAGCCAAAGTTAATTGTTTAATGATAAAAGCACTGAACTAAAGCATTAAACTACTAAATAAATAAAAAGTTACTAATAAAATAAAACTATTAAAATATTCTTATAAAAAACTAAATATTAAAACTACTGAAAACTGAAAATTGTAAAATATTACTATTAAAATTACAAGACTATTTAAAAAAAGTAAAGTTATTAAACCACTACATAAAATCTGACAAAACAACTAGCTTTGGCTTGTGTGTATGACTCTTTAATTTATTTTTATTTATAATACATTTTTATAATTTAATAATTAATTTAAATCCTACAAATAGCATAACAAGTCCAACTAAAGACTATAAAAAGAGATCTGTGTCTTTTAAAAGTAATAAGTCTTACTGAGGACTCTACGAAAAGAGGACTGTAAAAAGCTTTTGACTGATGCAACGTCCCGACATATCTCTCTGAATCACATGCTTGATCTCGATTATGATATGAACGAGCGTAACTCGTAACGAGTATAAGTCTCGAGACGACAAGACTCGCGTCTTGTGTATATATATATATTAAGTATACATTTTTGACACCAAATGTCAAAGCGGCACGAGAATTATATCATGGAACGAAGAACACAATATAATCAACCGCGACTCTAGTTTCTCGTCTTCCCAGCCGCGATCAAAGTGGAAAAAATTCGGATTTAATAAGCGGTCAGTTGACGTCGTCAGAAAGAAAAATAAGTTAGATGAGACTGGTAAGGAACTGTCAGTCATCACGGGACGGAAATAACGAAAAGCCGCAACAAGGCGGAAGAGTAACGAGTATAGAAGAGAGCGAAAGAGGAAAAAAAAGAATGAGGAAGGAAACGAGAGAGAGAGAGAGAGAGAGAGAAAAAACTGACGGGTGTAACTCACGCTTTGCAGGAAGGGCCAGATGCCGTCGATGCTGTCCGTCGCTGTGAAAAGGCTGTGAAACGGCTCGTCCCTCGACATTGTATGCCTATCGCGACGTGCGGGTGCCTCGTATGAATATATGTTCGACGATGACAGCAGCAACGACTGGAAGGCGCCGAGAGAACAGGCGGAGGCGGAGAAGAAGACAAGCGCATCCGCACGACTCCGAAAATCCTAAACACGCACACTGTAGCTGCAGCTGCACGCACTATTCTCACAGCCACTCACAGCCACCGGCGGCGCAACTCACGACTCACGACTGACTGACTGATCGGACCGGACCGAACTGGACTGATGGGACAACCGCGACGATGGAATTACCCGGGATGCGCGTTCCGAAACTTGACTACTCGGAGTATTCTTTATCCTTGTTCAACATTCGGTGTGGACAATAGATAACAAATAATAAATAATACTTGTGACGGAACCGAGGTTTGGAACGTAAATTTAAGTGAACACAGAGCGAAGTTAACGTACAATCCGCACGATGCGATAACGCTGCTTAGTTCAAGCGATCGGGGAACGAGAGGAAGAGGGAGATGTTAAAGGCGTACTTACAAACAGGTTTGCGATAGCCGCGTATTTAATAAGTCTTGTAGTCAATTGTGTATCTTGAAATAATAACAAGGTAAAAATTGAAACAATGTGCCAATTTACTATCATGAAATATTTATGTAATTGATTTTTGAAATATTTCATAAATATTTTATTTGTGTATAATATTTAAAAATACTTCACATTAAAAATATATTTCACAAAAATATTTTAGAAATATTATACAAATGATATAAATATAATATATCGTAAGAAAAAAATATTTCAAAAATTTTGATTTTCTGCAGAATATATTAATTTATGTTGCAGAAACATTTTATGAAAATATTCTAATAAATTTGCTCATTTCGTAATTTTTATCTTGTTTCAAGTTATATAATCGGCCTTGTACTTTTCTAAATAGCAAGCACATTATTTTGACGTCAACGTTGCCATAAATGTCATTTAAACATCAGAAAAAGCAAATAATAATGTGTTAGCTGCACTGCTGAATAAACATGCGTTTTGTTCCGAATGTAGAGATATTGATATAGCAGTACAATTAAAACGAATAACATATAATGTTCTCTCTACTTTTGATAAAAATTTATGATAAAAATTTTATTGAGATTTAAAATTTTAAATGTCTCGTTGGTGATTTATGTAAGATATGTTATGAATGGCGCTGCGGTACATTTAAAAAACTATTGTATAGTGCGTGTTTAGCGCCGCCCTATGATCGAGTATCTGAATCTTATAACTATCTGCAGCTGTATTCAGTGAGTTGAAAATTACTCGTAAACACGTTACACGTGATTGTGCGATTATTTTCATGTATTGTTGTTGATAAATAGCTTTCAAAAATGGCAAGTAAAACAAAAATTGTTAATTTGACTAGAATGTCCAAAATGTTTCAACCACTAACAACGAACGAATCGTTCGATAGCGGAGAAAAAACAGAAGTTACATCTAAAAGTCATAAGGTACGTGTACCTATTTAATTTGTTAAATGTTTCTTGAGAATACTTAGGTAAATTTTTTGGATAAATACTTATGTAAATATTTTTCCACATGTTGTTTAATTGATGAAAACCATTTACTTGATATAATAATTGTATAAGACAACATTTCTTAAAACAAAAGTCATAAATTTCTTAAACAAGTTTACTATTAAAAACTAATAGTTTTTTAAAATATATATTATATATTTAGTTCCAAATTTCTTTAATTTTTGTATGAATGCTTTACATTTAGTGATACAAATCAACACAAATATTCTAGCTTCCTTAACATTCGATGATTAACAAAAACAAAATGATACTTGTGTCGACTTGTGTCATCAAATGAAAATAAAAGTGCCTGAATTAAATGACAGACTTTTTTTAACTTAAAGATTATACTTTTAACCTCTTTGTTTCAGTTAATGATTAATTATGGAATCATTAAACCAGTTAGCATAGGCATGTATGCTATATTACCCTTAGGAATGCGAATTTTAAATAAATTAATCGATATCGTTGACAAAGAAATGGCAAATATTGGTGCAGAAAAAATACTACTTCCAGCGTTAACTCCTACTAAGCTGTGGAAGAAAACTGATAGATATGAATCCAACAAAACTGAACTGTTTACAGTTACAGATAGACATAAGAAAGAGTACATATTAAGTCCAGTAAGTAAGAAATATATATCATATAAATACATTTTTCTTTATCAAGTATTATTTTAGATTAAATTTTAAATTAAAAAAACTAAAAAATTGTACTTTTTAGAAAAGCCTCTACTATTTTGATTCATAGAAATTACTTAAAAACTGTTAACTAATAAAGTGTGAATCTTTTACACATTAATATAATGTATTATTTTTTGTTTAATCTGAAATCTTTCAAGTAATTTTTTTTATATATTGTTACAGACACATGAAGAAGCAATTTGTGATTTGATATCGTCAGCAGGACAAACTGTCCACATTCCTACTAAATTATTACCCTTTAAGTTATACCAAATTTCTAGTAAATGGCGAGACGAAATGAAACCACGGCTTGGTTTGCTACGTAGCCGAGAATTTATCATGAAGGACTTATACACGTTTGATACTAGCTTGGACAATGCACAACAAACATATGATTTAGTCTGCGAGTCTTATAATAATATTTTTAGGCAGATTGGTATAAAGTATACAAAAAGTAATTACCATTTCTAATTGTATATTAGAATCTATATATTTTATAGATACTTAATTTACTTAACCAACATTGGACCTTATATAGTATTTAATGATGATTACTTATAGATACATAGTTATATATAACATTGGAAGATCCTTATAGAATAACTTAATGATGATTATTAAAAGGCATAGGTGATATGGGAACAATTGGAGGTCTAATATCACATGAATATCATTACATTTCCGATATCGGTGAAGATACGATACTTCAGTGTCCATCATGCCAATTTTCTATTAATCAAAGTATTTCCGAGACGAAGAATTGTCCAAAATGTAAAAATGAACTGCAGTCATATACAGTTGCTGAAGTAATCTAAAAATTTCTTTAACAAATTATATTTATTTAACAACTAATTGATGTAAATTAAAAATATAAGCTTATATATGAATGTTATAAAAAATATATTATATTGCATTAATGATAATTGCAGGTAGGACATACATTTTTATTAGACACAAAGTATTCAAAGCCATTAAAAGCGTTGTTTATAGAGCAGAATAAACCGACACCTATGGTAATGGGCTGTTTCGGTCTAGGATTAACTCGTATCATTATGTTAGCTGTCGAAATCTTGTCAACAAATAACGAAATAAGATGGCCTATAAAGTTAGCACCATATACAGTATGCATCATACCACCAAAGGTAGGTAAGATAAAAAAAAACTTGGCTTTATGTGTTTATTAAACAATATTCTTTATTATACACTGCATTGAAATTTACAGACTGGAAGCAAAGAAGAAAGTACGACTGTCTATGTTGAACAGCTATTTGAAATATTTTATAAACGCAATATCGATGCAATATTGGACGATCGCACGAATTACACAATTGGTAAACGGCTAGTGTTCGCACGTGCATTGGGTTATCCTTATATAATCGTCATTGGCAAAGCGGCTACACAATCGATTCCTTTATTTGAAATTCATGATGTGAATAATTCAACTTATCGTGAATTATCATTAGATCAGATGAGTAACTATTTCGATAATATAAGTTTTAAAGATTAAAGATATGACCGTGTGTACAGTATGTATGTAAAAAATTGAAATGCTAATGAATATTGTATATTATACATGCTTATATTATGCATTTCTTTACATTAAATGTAAAAACATTTTTATGAATATAATATCAATTTTTTATTTATATTATTAGCCTCTATATTATTTAAATGTACATATATATAAAATCTTAATGAATGTGTGAATTGAGAATTAGCGAGTTAAATAATAATTAAAACTTTTTACATTTAAATAGTTCAACATCTGATAAGTCGTTAATCATTGAACCTGAAATCGAGGAAATTAAGATTTGCATGTGAAATGCCAATCCATCAGCATCTGTTTATTTGCATTACAATGCCTTTTTATTGAAAATTCTTTTGGAAATCTAAAATTCATAAATGCCACATCACTTCAAAATATTGGCATTATTGTAATAGAATTGCAAGGCAATAATATACGCAGAACGTTATCAGAGATAAAAGAAGCGTTTTATTAAAAATATATTTATACATATATTTGCTCTAAAAAATAACATGAATTCCTCTTTTATTGACTTATAAAAGTTAAATGAAAGATACGTCAAATTTATAAACATTTATTAAAGTTTAAAAAAATATTGGAAAATATGAGTTTTGAATCATTTCTTTATCTCAAAGAAAATTTATTTCTTTAAAATACCATAAAGTTAGTTCTTTTACATCATCACTCTGTTTCGTTTGGCATCATTTATTCGTTTTAGCTGTTTTCAGAAATTTGTCCTTAATGAATTGAATTTTTTGGTGACATCTTCTATGATTGCTTTTGGATATTTTTCTCGATATTTATTAATTAAAATTTTAGTATCATTCTTTTTTTGTCTATTACTACAATCTTTTGATTTAATATTCCATAATGTATAGGTAGTAACTTATAAACTTTTATACATTTAAGAATAAATGCTCTTTCCTCAGTTTTACTAGACATACTTTTCCCTATCACTTGTGATTTTTCAAATCTTCGTCTCATTTCGAAATGACACAGATATTCGAATACTTTCAAATTTGAATGCTATCAAGTGACGTTGGGAACTCAAAGGTCCAACATTTTAAGGCATTCCCTACACGATCAATATTATTTCACAATATTTGGTATTGCACAATATTATTGATCGTTTGGAGAGATATATTGAAGGTTTGTGAAATATATTATATCATTGGTTGCGTTCAGTACTTACAAGGAAGTAATCCTCACCGATTTTAATGAACTTTGATAATAAAGCATGAAAAAATATTAGTTTCATGCTCTAGAACATATCCAAAGCTTATTAAAATCAGCAAGGGTCAGTTCGGACGGTTCTCTTAAGAGAATGAGATTGTTAGTAAGCGCTTTGCATCGATTGGATGATGAATAATATTGAGTAATAATATTGATCGTTTGTATATATGGGCTATTTAAGGAGTAATAAAAAATAAGAATTATAAAGAATTTTTAAATATATTTCGACAATATCTAACTTTTGATTTATAAGAAAAACTGACTGGGAATACGTAAGAAAAGGATATGTTTTAATAATATAGTAACCACAATGTTGAAAATATATTGCAATGTATACACTTTTACATTACGAAATATTTGAAAGCTCTTCTAATATAGTTTGCGTATCTAAAGTATTAAGATCTATCGAAGCCCGTGTATCCACTATCACTCCAGTTACCTAAAAACATATATGAGAATTATATAAGAAAACATAATACAAAACATAAATTAATGCATTTTATTTGATTACCATTTCTTCAAAAAATGCAGTATGATTAGGCTTCTCCGAGTATCTCTCGTATTGATCCAGATTATCCTGCAGTTTTAAAGCGAGACTGTCGTAATTCTGTATTATAATAGATAGAATTTGTTGTTCCGTTGGCGTCGACAAACTTTCTTTCGCTAGCCACGCAGCTATCTTTGGTGGAAAATGATTTACTATATCCCTCACATTAACCAGAGAGTTGGTTAATTTGAGTGCATGTTCCTTGTATTCATACGATTCGCTAGTCGAATACCTGAGTGCTAGAATATTTTTTTACATTCTCGTTATGTGAAACACTTTTGTTTATAGTGTTAAAATTCTTATACTCTTATTATATCGACTCCTTACCCATGGCATTTAGATTGGTAAAGATAAGTCTCATTCGAATAATTTCATAAAATAATTCATCGTAACTGTTAGGTGACGATAGGAATGTATCAGCATACGTAATAAAAAAATTTAAGATGTTTACTACCTGTTGAAAAGTAATCAAAATATTATCTTGTTCGATCGTTTGACAATGCAATTTCTCAAATGTCTCATTACCTGAATAGCTAAAGGAAATATGTTCATTTTCTTAATAAGATGGCTTTCGTGCGTTGTTAAAAATTTAAGTAAATTGATTAGCGCGGTCCAAAGATCTCGCCACTGATAACCAAGTCTGACACGGCATCTCTTTTGATAACATAATAGTCTTTGTAAAACGCCAATACACTGATGATATAACTCAAGCGGAAATTTCTTCATCATATGTGACGTTACGAACTCGACGAGCAAATCTATAATGAAGCGATATAAATAGCAATCCTTTTAAATAATATGATAAAAATGACTTAAAATAAATTTTTTAATTTGTTACGATTTTTCTTAAAATTTAGACAATTTATGTTCCAGTAATATTTTATAAGCTGAGAGTTATTAATGCTTTAACGTTAGTTAAACTTTCTCTTTATCAAATTTCTATTTCGAGAAAATATATAACTCTTGAAACATGTATGAGAAAAATACCCAGTAATGTAGCTGCAAGTGGTTGAGCAGGCGCTGCTTTGTCCTGCAACTTTCGATGATGCATAGGTACTCTATGTAACTGAACTCTGAATGCCAGATTTGCGTCGTGCATCAAACTGTTTGCGTATTGATCTTCCGCGATACAACTTAGTATCAAGAAGCACAATTTCACATTGTTCATTATAGCCTCTGTTCGAATTACTTGCATAACTATTGAACTGTAATGCAAACAGATATCTTACAAATGTTAAGAATAATAGATTATTAAACATATATTAATGATTTTACATTAATTTTTACTATATTTTTTCTTCTCACCAATATTGCAGAAAAGTTGCTAGTAGATTAAATGGCTGAGCCATCACATCGGGTGGTGAAGCACCAGGAGCTACTGCATTTGGACCTAGGGTGTTATTTGGTGACGGAGGTGCACTAGTATCGCTTTGCGTATAGGCCAAAGTAGTTACAAAATTACGATTCAAGTGTGTAGCCTCATATAAAGCTAAAAGTAAAGCATTATTTGCACGAACTTGTTGCGTTTTTGCTTCTTCCTCTCCAACAAACATGCTACCGACTATACTAGTTAACGAAGACAACCAAGATGCTTGTATTTCTGAAAATATATTACGTTATTATTATTATATTCTGGAATATGTTTACGGTATATTAATTATTTGAAAACAATTGTGTTATTACGATAAACTATTATTAGTGTTATTATTGCATTCATACACAATACCTGCTCTTTGTTGAGCAAATTGTCGGCAAAATTCCGTCAACGAACTTGATATGGCTTGCCCATATCCATTTAGAGCTAATTCATCATCCAAGATTGATAATTTAACAATATAGGGGTTTGCACTTTCATATTTCCGGTAGTTGACTAGAAGCGTTAACAGTAAAACCGCATCATGACCATGGCGATTTCTAGCAGCTGTATCTCTCAACAACTACAACACAAATTAATATGTATGACTATTAACACATAAATATTATTTAAGATTTCATTTAGAATTTTGCATAAAAATAAAAAAATTATGATTTATAAATATTTAACGTACTTGAATTAGCGATTCAAAAACACTGTTTAACATTACATATTCCAGTAAGGTATTTTGACTGATATTATCCATACCAGTAACTATTATTAATAACAATTTCAGGCACAAAGCTTTTAAACTATCTGGATATTCACCTAAATTAAATAATAATAAATTCTTTTTTTAGTTTTTTGCTAATATATTTAAAAAGTTGCTTAAAACATATAATTTACATAATAGATATATATAATAGATAAAAAGAAAGGATGGAATAAATTATAATCCATTTCAAGAACAATAAACTGATATATACATATACATTATTGATAATTGTTGCCTATTACAAACCTACCTGTTAAAAAATTATTACAATGTTGCATTAATGTTGTCATCCTCTGTTCTGCAGAATCAAAGCCTACAAGAATATCTATTAAATTAAATCCATAGTCTCCCTGATTGGCTTTCTTGTACATGGACTGGATAACGGCTGCTAAAGTTTGCAGTGCATATACTATTCTAAATGGATGTTCGTCGACTAATGTATCAACACAATGGCATACCAATGCATTTAAATTTTCTTTACTGGCATTTAGTTGTTCTGATGTCATATGTAAAATTTCATTTTCGATGTGAGGTATCTATAATATTACAATTAATACTCATATTCTGATAAGTTAGACAACGATAAAAAAAATAAGAGATACGTACCATAGGTTTAATAAGGAACAGCTCATTCCAGAAATTTGGATGAGCTAGTGTCAAGTCTTCACCTTTAAAGAAACTTTCATAGATCGGTACTAGCTTACATTTGTGTTGACGTTTGGCACCAGAGCCACTCCTTTTTCTCATAGCCATTAGTACGGTGAATTATTTTCCTCTGTTCACATACTCAAATTCTAGAAATAGGATATATACATGTATAATCTTTTCGTATAATAATGCGCTTATGATAATATTATTCTCCTACAATAGTTTTTCTAAGGTATTCTAAAAGCAAGGAAATACTAGATATTTTGCATATTTATCTCATTCTCCACATAATTAATAAAAACATTATTTATATTTTTTATTTTTCAATCCAAAATCTTACTACATGGTATGAATTCAAAATTTCAATGTAAATAACACTGTTACATGATCTGTTGCATCTATATCATAGTCTGAAAATGTAAAATTGTAGAAATTAACAAAAATTTATTTAATATTAATCTCACCAAACTTTTTAGAATTTATATATATTACGAATATATATATATATATATATTGGAATTCAATCAAGGGATATCTTTAGATCCGATATCGTGCTCAGTTAAAAAAATAATTATTATAGGTTATAAAGTTGACTTGTCAGCAAGCGTGCGCATTATCCCCTATACTTCTCTTGAATTGGAGACGTCGTGCGGCATCAGCGTCCAAAATCAGAACTGCCAATGTCGAAAAATAAATTATCTATATTTAAAAGGATAGAAGAGGAATTTAAAAGCAATTAATTTCTTTTATTCTTTTAACAATATATATACTTTATTATTAAAAATGAATACTATTGTTTATGTAATTCGTATATAAAACAATATCAGTTTATCATTACAAGTGCCTTGATTTCACGAGTCCTATTGCACAAAATTTTCTTACAAAACTGAAAATAATAATTACAATAATTATATAATATCAGTTAACCATAAAATATAATAATTTCCTCCCAGCCAAGGTAATATTTTTCGCAATAAGTTCTTTATAGATCTTAAAATATTTGAACATTAATATATGTAATATTTCAAATTAATTGTATTAAAAGTCCATCCAATAGTAAATAATAGTTATACATAGTAGATATATAATAATGCAATTACATTTTTGAGATAATTCATTTAAAGAATATATATATACAATAAATCTAATTTTGATAGAAAATTATAACGCTTCTTGTATTCAAGTAATGTACTCATATAAATCATCTTATTTCCAATGTTATTATTATAACAATTTCTATCTAAACTTATTATTACTTTAATCATTGTTTAGAGAAAAAAAATGTTAGAAGAAGAAAATATTTAAAAGTAACAAGAGAGCATTTTTTTTCTCTAAATATAATCGAAGCAAAATGTTTTTGAATACTAATATCACAAATTTTGTTATAAAGTAGAATAGATAATACCGATTTGATTCGAAAGACTTAAGATAGATATCACACAATAATGATGAAAAGTTAATTTTTCATTGATTTAATTGTACTTTAATTTTATGATATGCGTTGCAGAGCAATCCTCGAATGTTGTAAATGTTACTGAAACTTTCTGGTTGTACATTATATGATGAGTCAACAGCTTTCGCCCAAATTTCAACTTCTTTCAATTTTTTATCCACAGGAAGTTCCACGTTCCATAATGACCAACTCCAGTACCGACCTTCTTTTGCTTGAAGATCTTCCATCAGATCTGCTGTATGCCAAGTTTTACCTTTACAATTAAACAGAAAATCAATTATAAAAGTTCATTAAAAAACTGGGGTTTGGAGAGTGCACTATCAGTATTTGTGCCATTTTATCGTTTATTAAACATAATAATACAAAGATAAAATAATATAGCAGTGCTGACAGCACACTCCTCAAATGCAACTGAAGAAATAAAATAATTAATCGATTTTATCTTATTTTCTTGTCTTTCTCACCTTTATCATTTGTAACATCGACACGAATTATTTTTCGACCACCACCAGACCATGCGTAACCTAAAGTAGTAAATATATTATATAAACATTTAAAAAATTAAGGATACAATGTGTGTGTACATGTGCTTATCACAAACATAATGTGTTAAACTTTATTTCGTTTTCATATTTACCTTTTACTTGAATTTTTCCATTATTGATTTTGATTGTATCTGAATCTTGTGGCTCGCATATCGCTGATACTACAGGCATTTCTTGTATTGCGGGCGATTTACTGAAGTCTACATTGTCCCAAGTTGTGCTAGGAGAAAACCCCTTGTAGTCGCCCTGTTGCCACTGAGACTGACTCTCCTCCTTTGATATATTAATTTTACCTTTTGAATGAGTTTAATGTTAAATACAAATCCAATAATTATGCATGACTACATTAAGATTTTGAAAATATTTCATACTCAGCCATTTCACATTTCTTGCACCCACAACACCAGGAACGATTAAACGAACTGGAAACCCGTGATCTTTGCTCAATGGTTCACCATTCATTTCATAAGCTAAGATCACATCAGCTCTAGGGTCCATAGCTTTGGAAATCGGAATACTTGCTCCATATGGCATACCAGATGGATCTAAATCGTATCCTTCGAACTGATAAATAAAAAAATATTTCTCTTAATATATTTTTAATACAAGTTGTAAATTACTTTATACATAAGATGTGTTAAATGTAATGGAAATAAACATGTAACTTTTAGAATGTCTTATATACAAAAACAATATTATGAAAAATAGGTTGCTTTTACACTGCAAAAAATACCTGAACATGATTAAACGCATTTTCGTCGACACCTAAATCTTTTAATACGTCGCACAATCGTGCACCTGTCCATGTTGCATTGCCAACAGCGCCCACGTTCCAGTTAATACCTTTCAGTTGCTTTACCTGTAATAAATTCAGTGCTATGTACTAATTTGAGTCATCTGAGCACTAATTCCTTATTAGTCTACCTTTGACATTTCCGAACGTCTATTTCCACCGCACATTACAGCTGCAGTTATTGTCATCTTTTTATATTTTTTTAGTGTCTTGAAGTCAAGTGTCTTTTTGGTTGTCCCTTCCATAGCCAATTCTAATGTATAATTTTTTAATTCTAACTCAGGTACGGGTAAATGATTTCTCACATAAAAAAATGGCCTGAAAAAGTAGAATACAATAATATCATTATACGTACTAACTAAAATTTGTATCTATATATTTTTATAAAGAAAAAAGTTAAATAATATTTACACAGGTGTAAGGAAACTCTCGACTAATAATGAAGATGATGGTTCTGCACAGAAGGGTTTATTGCCATTGATTTTCAAAGCCTTATGCCTAGTAGGCTCATTTGCATATGGATCATATAGATCGCTTTTATTAGATTTGGCATCTTCTTCTGATATATTTCCAATTCTCATAGATTCTAGCAAGGAATATATTTCTGGTGTATTATGATTTGCAAATATCATCCAAAATGGATCCATGGATCCTCCAGCAGCCATCATAATTTTTGAGGAACCACCTGGATGCTTATCAACAAATTTTGTTATATCATATACACCGTGTCCAAAAGTAACCCAAATTCCTCTCTCTTTACTATCATGTTTTCCTACTTCTTCTAGGGTGTAAGTCTTCATGTCCTTTCGCAATTGACCACATTTTATATTTTCCGTTGCACTGAGAGCATAAACATTTCTTTTGTATTTTAGAGTGTAGTAAGATATACCTAAAACTGATGCAGCAACAGCAATACAGGTTGTGTATAATATTGTAGGATTTTTCACATCCTTAGTAGATCCATATTTTTTTTCTGTACGACGTTCCTGGCAGGTGTTAAAATTTCTTACTATCACTTGCAAAGAGAGTGATGGTATCTGCGATCTAAAATTAATTGGTAATGAAATTTTAAGAAATAGTCTCTATGCACAAAAATATGTTATAAGTACTAAGATAACGCTTGCTATGTTTTAAAACGACAAATTAAGATATTAAATTTCGGTAATATAAACAAGCAGACGATGTAAAACAGTTGACAAATTTTATTATAATAATTTCACAATTTAAAATTTAAAATTTAAAGCAAAATGTTTCGACTCTTACTGTAGTCCTCTTCAGTCTCAATAATATATACAAAACATCAATATAAATATACATATAACAATTTAAAACAATAATTATAAAATAAAATATAAAGTCAATAAGTCAATGTTCTCTCTTAATCAAATTGTAAATTGGAGGAAAGAAAACCATCTCATAAAGCTATATCTGCATCATGATTCTATGGAACCATTAGTCAAAAATTAGGCAATTAAAACCGAAATTGAATTTGTCAACTGTTTTACATCGTCTGCTTGTTTATATTACCGAAATTTAATATCTTAATTTGTCGTTTTAAAAATATGTTATATAATAACAAATAATAATATTCCAGTTAATATAAATATTATATTTTTAGAGGAATAAATCAATATAAATGTACCTTTGTTTTATACCCCAAAATATTTTCCAGCATAAACTCATAATGTTAATTTTTTATCTTGTAGATTCACTATTTGTTATTTAACCGATATCAACAACGGTATATTATTTTGGTATGTCGTGAAGTCATAAACCGGTAATACCACTTGCTCAATCTAACAACAGTTGTAACTTTGGAGAGAAAAGAAGAGGCTAAAAAGTGCTAAAAGTTTAGTTGTTAGAATCCAACCTTGCGTTATATTTCCTGCATTTACACAATGAAATATATAATCAAACGCATATTCAGTTATAAAGCAAAAATCAAAACCTGAGTTTATCGTGGTTTATCAATCACATGTAGGGTTGCCAACCGTAATTTTTTTAAGAGTATTCTTTTTGACTATTTTGGTCGATTAATTAAATTGTTATGTTCATAAAATTACATTAATAAGAATTGCTAATAAAAGCTAGGTACTAAGAATTTTATCTTATTAAATACCTACATATTTAGAACGCAAAAAAAATTATATCCCCTCCTTTTATCTCCGCGCGCATTATCAGTATTTTTTAAAAATATAATATATACACTTTTTTCTTGTGATTCAGATGGTATCGTCCCTAGTCACGTGGCAGTTCTTGATCTTGATGAGCTTCACGGCGGCGCACGCGTCGAACTCGCCACCTGGGGACTGGAATTGACAGTCAGACAGTTATTGACAATTATGCGTGATAGTTCGTTGGTAACTTGATAGTTGTGTAGCCGAGGTTGACAGGCAATTCCTCGTGCGTATGTATACTTTTTCTAATTTTGTAGAGAATCTCGAATGCGTCTCATTGCCTGTCCCGTAATGCCGGCACTCGTTAGGCCCGCGCTCGCGGACACGGCAAAGTCGTGAGATTAGGTTCAACCAGGCAAGCTTCGATCGCGGCATGGGCGAGAATTTAGAATCTTTTGAGGACGAAACGGATTTTACCGTGGAATACGACGAAGTCAATTCGCTCACGAGGCACAATGTTCGTCCGCTCCAAGGTACAAACCATGAAACCAAGCCCAGGAATATGTGACATTCCGTTTGGCGTGCATATGTCAGGTCAAGTTACACACAGCTGTATTCAAAGCAAGTCGTTTATTTCAGATAAAAAAAAGTCAACGGTGATAGAATGTAATTTTTCAGCTAAAACGTTTAAGCAGCGCTGTTTCCATAATTCTTTAGTCTTTAATATTATTTTCAGTGTTATTGTTAAATCAAACAAAAGTATTTATGCAAGTTAAATTATTTCCTATTGCGATATATTAAGTATATTATCTTGTATAGGATGTTAAAAGATATATTCTATTATGTTTTTTAACTTAAGTCTTTAAAAGCATTTATATTATCATAATTGATTGTAAAATACATGTATAATATAGAGAGATAAGGACAAAAAATGATATATGATACAACAGAAAGAGAGATAGCGAATGTATTTGTGTGAGTCAAGCAATTCCTTATTGCAGTGTATTGAGCCTATTAGCTTATATAGAATGTTAAAAGATATATACTGTTATTTTCTTCGTTACTAAAATATTTAGATTATCATAATTGAACATAAAACATATATATATATATATATATAGGAAAGAGATATAAACAAAGAATGAGTATATATGCTCACATGAGTATATATATATATATATATATATACACACATGCAGCTCTGCTTAAAAGGATAATATTGAAAATGAGATTGATATCTTAATAATATTAATGATTTTGTAAATAAAATTATTCGTATAATAATTTAAAAGTTGGAATTTTCTGTTGATTACATTATATAATAATAATGCTTATTTATATATAAATTTGTGCTAATTTATAATAGTGATAAATTAAGCTATGGATAGTACACTCTCCTTACTGTTGAGTTTACTAAATTATTTCATATCTCTCTGTCTCTCTCTTTCTTAAGCTTATTAATTTCTGAAAAAAATGATAATGTATTTTTGCATCAGGAATGACAATACAGAATGACGTTTTGCAAGGCCGTGATCACTGTGGAAGCAACATGTTTGAAAATAAAAGCGACTCAGTGTTGTTAAGAAAAAATGATGGAGAAATAAAATTCAATTGTCCAGTTGACAACATTAATTTATCCATCACTTTTGAAGAGGATAAATCTATCAATGACATTTCTAATACAAAACTTCAAACTTGCCAATTGTCTAGCAGTGAGAGTCGCCTTTCATATGATAATGAATCTCTTCGCAATTCACTTTCTCATTGTACAAGTGCTTCATTACCCACGATATCGTCTTTGGATTCATATTTAGTCAAAAATAAAACTAACATATTTCAAAAGGATATACATACACAGGAAAACATAGCAAAAGCTTGCACTGATGAAGAAGAGACATTATTTAATCGATTAAGCGAGATGAAAAATCCTTTATCTGATTCACAATGTTCTATAAACGAAAAGAGTACTAAAGCATGTCAAAATCATCCAACAGAAGAGGAACACGAGAAAGATTATCTTAAAGAAGAGATTTCAAAAAACGATGTATCCGAAATAAAACAATCTGGTGAAGAAACGATAGATTCGCGATTACAATTAAATGACAACAAGACTATAATAAAGCGAAATCAAGTCGAGGTAGACGTATGCAAGAAAAATGAATCAAATTTAATCGCGACACCAAGTATTAACGCGCGAGGTTCAATTTCTCGACCGACATTGGTCGATGACAGTAAACTCGTAAAAATGTCTCTTCTAACGAATCCAATAAATATAATGCAATCGAACGTTCAGCTTTTAAATAAAAGCCGTAATTTTTTAAACTTTATCACGGAAAAATCGACGAACATCATGGAAAAAGCTTTATTACCACAGCACTTGGCGATGAAATACAATCACATATCGAAATCTATTGAAAGTGATTCCGCGAGATTTTATACCAGCAACGTATCTTCTTCGATTGACGTAACTTCTACATTAGATGTAGATTCAGCAACAAATCAGAATGATATGAGTTGTATACTAAAACAAAATTATAAAAGCGAAAATAATTTGGATATTGTAAATAATGAAAAAGAGGCAGATTCATCTCTATGCACGAAAGAAAATAAAATATACGACGCTTCTAGAGAACAGCTGTTATATAATAACAATATTGAGAATGAAGTAATATCAAACGAGAAAATGTTTAATGTATTTAAAAACAATGACGATGGATTAGATTGTGATGTAATGGATGAACAAGTAAAACGCAATGTGTTGAGAGAAACGGATGAGAATAAAAGTTTTCTACAGGCGGATGAGTTGTACGATGACGCATGTAAGGAAGACTCGTCTGATGTCAGTATTTTAGATTCAATAATTTTAAAACACGATTCATTAGAACATCCGTCGTATCTTGCCTTATGGGAGGATTATACCAGTTTAAAAATTAAGCACTCAAAACTACTGGATAGAATGAAGTATTTAAAGAAGTTAAATCAATCGAATAACTCGTTTCAAGAAACCGAAACAAATACACTTACTACAGAAGCACTTATCTTACAAGTAGAAAACTTGCAAAAAACTGTAAATCGATTAACAGTTGACTTGAACACATCGTTAGAAACGCAAGAAGCTTTGAAGAAGGAATGTGCTGCGGTTAATAAGGAGAAGGAAAATATGGTTATGAGATATGTAACCAGCGAGAAACAATTGATTGATACGCAAAGGTAATTATAGGAAGATCAATTTAGGATTTATTTCTGACACTTTTTAAGCATGATCAACAATAGTTTTAAAATTTCAAATATTGAGATAAAAATAATTTTAAAACGTTATGTATATTTTAAACTAGTAAAAAGAGAAAAGACAGACTTTTTAAGTCTCTGTTTGCACCTTTATTATATTGTCATGTCTGTAAAGATTTAAAGCGCGAAAACCGGGAGTGGGGAGTCAAGCTATTAAAAGTAACTGATCAGCTGATTATTATTTATGATAAATTATTTATACATATTAAATTATATTTTGAAGTTTAACTTGTGACGTATGCAACAGAGTGAAGGATTCTACGGAACGTAAAGTCAAGGAAGTTCTAAAAGATCAGGAATTATTGCAAAACAAGTTGCGCCAAACGCAGGGTGAACGCGCAAGAATATGCAATATTTTGGATGGAAAATGTCGTGAAGTAACTGATTTTCAAAAGGAAATAGAGAATTTAAAAGAGGACGTTAAACTGAAAGAGATTAAACTAAAATGGACGCAAACTAAACTTAAAACTGAAATGGAGTCACAAAAAGATACTCAACAAAAATTGGATAAAGCTTTGGTAAAGTAAAATACAATTTTGTTTTTCACGTAATTTAAGTCATACGAAATAGTAGTTCAAATATTGTATTTTGGATTAGGTATATGAATATCGTTAGATTTTTGTTTCAGTCACAGATAGAAATATAAAAAAGAAAAAAATTTTTTATTATTTTTTATTGCTATGGAAATTATTAATTGTTTACGACTATATTCTTAACATGAAATAAAATTTCATAAAAATTATCCAATTTCATTACGATATACAATAAATCATTATGTCGATCTTAGTAATAGCTTCAATTTGCGATTGCTAATTATCGTTAAAGAAATTTTAATGGGATATCAATATTATTTATATTAATAATTAGATTTCTGAATAAGAAATTAGATAAATAAAATTCTAAATTCTAATAAAATATCAATATTATTTATTAGATGTATGTTGCAGATGAAAATAAATGATATGAAAGAAGAATGCGAGCAAATACGTCGTGAAACGCAGGAATCATTTCGTAAATTTCAACAATCTGAAGAGAATAAAGCTGTAACATTAGACCAACAGTTGAAAGAGCATCAGGCGCGTTTGATTTTGGAAAGACATGTTACGGAAGATAAAGAAACACTAAGACTTCAGTTACAAAAGGAATTAGAAACACTGAAATCTAAGCAACAAAACTTAATTGAAGAAAATAAGAATCTCAGCATAAAAATACAAGAGTCTGAGAAAATTCGATTAAATAATGAAAATGATTTGAGTGATTTAAGAATTGTCGCGGATCAGCGTCAGCAACAAATTACTGAATTATTAGACAAAGTCTCCCAGTTAGAAACATTAAAACTGCAATTGCAACAGTAAGTATATTTATGGTCTCAATAATTTATATATTTTATATATTTTTTTAAATATTTTACAAATATATATAATATCAAACAAATATATAACATACTTATTTTGCTTATCCTATACAAAAATATGATAATAATTGCATTAACAATACAATTTCAAGTCATCTTTTATCTACAAATTTTTGAACTTTTAAATTATTAAATTAAAAATTTTTTAAACTATTATAAGTATTTTTTTTTATAACTTTGAAAAATTTATGATATGTGTTAAATGAAATTTTAGTGCTATTTAATAATTATTTTATAAAATATTCGTTTTTATAGTAAAGAAGAGTGTATAGTGTCGATTGAAGCAAAATTGTTGCAATTACAATCGGCTAACGAGGAATTGCAATTTGACATGGAGGCATGTCGCCAGAAAGAAGCAGATATGTTAGATTTTACACAAAAACTGACAGACACAAATGTACGTCTTCAATCCGAGTTTATCGCGATTCAAACGAAGGCAAATCATCTTGAATCCGAACAAGGTCCGCTACGTGAACGTATTAACGAATTGACTAGCAGAGTCAAAACTTTGGAAGAAGATTTGATACAAGAACGGAAAAAGCGGAGAGAAGAGTGTGAGATTCTGGCTAAGCATGTTGCCGAACAAACTAAACTCGCGCAAAACTTTGCCCAGAAGTTGGAGGATAGTCAGGGTGAAAACACGTTATTAAAGAGAAAGCATCAAACTTCCATAAAAGAATTGACACGGGAATTGCAACAGTGTCATAAAAAATTAGAAATGTTTGAAACTACGTCTCCCAGCAATTCATTAGATATTGCATCCAGAACTGGATCTAACACTTCCTTAGCAGGTTTGATATTGATAGTGATCTCATTCATATTAATGAGTTGTTATAAATTTATATTGGATTATGACGTCGAAAGTGTATTTTTTCCTTTAGGTGATACATCAAACGGTGCCTTATCAGACAACAACGTTAATAGTGACCATATTAATTCGATAGAACTTAATAAACAAGTATTAATGGATCGCATCATCAAGTTGCAAGATATAAATGTAAAAAGAGCTGAAAAGTTAGATTTTTTCAAAGAACATACGCAGACATTACTCGAAGATATACAAAAGAAAGAAAAAATAATACAAAATTATATTTTAAATCAAAATTTTGGAGCGTTGACATGTAACAAAAGTGATAGATACAAGGTTTGTATACACATAAAATATTTTTTTTAGTTAATTACATTTTATCGTATTTATATATGTAGAGAGTAGATATGGTAAAAAACTAGTCTGTTAAAAAAATCGTTGTATTTACTAAATCTAAATCTTTATAATAATAGATATTTTTGTTTTTTTGTATCCAAGCATATCAAAAGCCGAAAAGATATCGTAAGTGTTAGAAAACAGTTTTGCTAAATAATGTTAAGAAGTGTCAATCAAAATTGTTAATTTATTTATTTATATATAATATTTAACTTTATACATATTCTAAACAAGTGTATAATATACTTGCAGGCAGAATTGATACGACGTGGAGGTATAATGGCATCTGTTTACAATCATCGAGTTTCAGATGAGAATATGACTCTAGAACTTTCCTTAGAAATAAACCAAAAGTTACAAGCTCTTTATGAAGACGCATTACTGAAAAATATCACTTTAAAGGTAAATATATCAAAAATTATAAATATAAAATAAAATTTAAAAATGTGATATATATATATATAATATTAAATGACTCATTGTATGTTAAAACATTTTTGGAGTATTCTATCTACATTTTGTATTAAAGTTTCATATGTATCATGTATTTTCATCTAGTAAGTTGAAAATTTTTTAGAGGCATTTTATATCTTTTAGAATTTAGTCTTATATATTATAATATATATTTTGACTCTATTAAAACAAAGAAAATTATTTTTGCTCCAAAAAATGACTTTTATTATAAAATTGCTTAGTAGTAGACTTTTAATTAATTTCAGTAGAGACAACGTTATTGAGACACACTTTATCGTTGTTTAATATAATGTCATTTTTCAGGAAAATATTGATACGTTAGGTAAAGAAATAGCAAAATTAACAATGCAGCATCAGCAAAAACAAATTAACAATTAATAATTAGTTATTATATATATATAACTATGTATATATACACATAAATACACAACATAAATTATATATATGTATATATATGTATATTACAGTATCATTTTATTTTAAATTGCATTTAAAAATATTTGT